TAACATTTGAAATAAATTAACTACTTACAAAAACCTATGTGGCATGAGAGTTTCTAATGAATTTCTATATGTTGAACAACACTCTCTCTCTCTACCATTGAAAATGTTTTTAGATCATCATGAGTTTTTTTTGGAGACCAAGTTGGTGAACATATGAGATTATATATCTAAGAAACAACTAAATTTACCTATTAGACGTGAGAACTTAACATATGATATATTACAACAAACATTTTTAGTTTTTTACCCTGAATACTTTTATCAAAAAGTTTTCTAGTCTAGCTCAAAAACTTTAAATTTAATATTAAAGTGGTGCTTATAATTACGAAAAGCAGAACCGCTGATAAATCAGATTATGAACAACCAATTGCAATAAAAAATTCAGTTTCTACTATAAAGAATAAGAAGTTATAGTTCTTACTTAACTGCATGCACACGGCATGCACACATATACACATCAAAAAATTCAAATAATTTATATCACTAATCCATATATTTGATTACAATATATCTACTATATAAAATAACATACTTAAAAAAGAACATGATAAAATAAATTACAAAGAATTTTCTAGTCTTAAAACAACTCGAACTCCAGATAATCGCCTATGGTTTACATTCAAATCCAAATTATATCGACATATAAAAAGCGATCAAACTCGTCAGTCCCCTGTAACAGATTTTTACTCATTCAGTCTTGAATCTTAGAAATTTTTATCGATTTCTCTCTTGAGTCAAATCTCACAGTGGTTTACATTTAGCTGAGCAAGATGAAGAGCGCCCGTTGCTATTATGTCGCTGGTTTTGTGGGCTGCTCGTAGGCACGCAGTCACAGTGTCGGATAACTTCGCCATGAAAGAAAATGCGGCTTTGATGCAGGCCTAGCCCTATCCTATGGCAACTTGTGCTCTTGCACATAGTCCCACAGCGGGATCCACAATATTAGTTATAAAAAATTAAAAAAAACTCAAAATTGTTATAAAATTTATAAAAATGGCTCTATATTATTGTAAAATTCATAAAAAATGTCATAAATTTTTAATATATAACATATAACTAAAAAAAATAATATTTTTTTTGGCACATGACCCATGGGCCGGACCTGCTTTGATGGAGGAGATCGAAGGAGTTGGCGGCTCGCCGTCCGAAGGTAATTCCGTGTTTGTTTTCATGTTTCGATTTCGTATTTGCTAGATCTGCTGTGGATCGGAAAATGGATCTGATTGTAGTATGTTTAGTCGGTGGATTAGGTTGGGATTTAGTTTCGCTTTCATAATAGAGGTGTGAAACGTAAGAAAAAAAACTTTTTGAGATTTTGAGAGTCCAGATCCCATCAACTTTTTATTTAGTAGATTTTTTAGTATGTAATAGACAGACTTTAATGTAGAGAGTCTTCTTATGCTTGGGTACATTTGATGTTTTGATATATTTTATGATTTGCTTGGGTAGACATTATAGAGTAATACTAAGATATTATATGATTTGGTGTTTTGAAATATTTTAGACATACTTGAAAAGAACATATAAAATAAATTACAGAAAATTCTTAAAACAACTCGAACTCCAAATGATCGCCTATGGCTTTACATTCAAGATACCTATCATCATTAACTCCAAGGGAAGCCGACGCCTCTGGACCACCGCCATACTCATAGAAATCCGGCAGCTCAGGCGGGATTGCGCAACGGATTAGAGCCCAGTTCAATCCTTCAAAGAAAGGATGTCTTTTGATCTCTGCCGATCCTTTCTCTGACCCAAGCCGGTTTTCTGGTTCCTTAACCAGAAGCCCTCTGATCAAATCCTTTGCCTGAAAGCTCACGAGCGGGCTATCGGGAAACTTGAGGTTCTGTAACACGACATTGGCTAAAGTCTCGTCATTGTTGTAACCTTTGAAAGGTGTTTTCCCATATAAAAGCTCGTAAAGGAGAACCCCGAAAGTCCACCAGTCCACAGCAGCACCGTGTCCTTCTCCTTTGATGATCTCGGGAGCTAAGTACTCGTGTGTTCCGACAAAAGAATTGGATCTTGCTTCCGTTGGTTCAGCCACGAGCTGAGGCAATGATCTTTTCAAGTGTTGTTGGGTTTTCGAAAGATGATCTGCCTTTTTCGCTTTTCCACCTTGTTGTTGGTTTGAGGAGAGCCTAGGGCTGAAACACGAAACCTGGCAAGATGGTTCGATGATACAGAATGGTTGTATGCAGTTGGATGTGTTGTATGGACCCGACATCCTCGCGGGATCTTGACCAGGCGGAGAATTTGACCTGAGAAGAGTTGGATTCACTGCACATCGGAGTGAGAGATCGAAATCCGTAAGCATAATGTGTCCATCTTCACGGACTAGGATGTTTTCCGGTTTCAGATCTCGGTATATGACACCAAGCATGTGCAAGTACTCCAGTGCAAGGAGAATTTCCGCAACATAGAACCTGAAAAAACCATTTTTTATCATCAGTTTTAGTAAATGAATCATCTCTTTTTGATAAGAAAAAAAGTAAATGAATAATCCAGACGCTATGTGTAAGATCTTTACCTTGCTGCAGGTTCAGGAAAACATCGGCCTAGCTGCTTCTGTCTGAGGACATGAAGATCTCCTCCAGGACAATACTCCATGACCAGACAAGACAAATTATCTGAAGTAAATTGTGCGTATAATGTAGGAAGAAAAGGATGGTCCAACATTTTAAGTATTTCCCTTTCCGCTTGTGCCCTCGGAGACTTTTTCCTTCTAGCCAAAAACTCGTTGTCCATGACCTTTATGGCAAACAAACAGTTTGTACCAATCAGCTCAGCGAGATAGACTGTTCCTATATCTCCGCAACCGAGTTTCTTCAAAAGGTTGAAGTGTCGTAAACCCAAAGAGCCGCATTGCACCTTGACATGCTTAATCGCTTCCCATCTCACATCCATCGACATATGAGGTTTGTTTCCACAGCTAAACCTGCTCAGATTGCTCTCCTCACTCATGCTTGTGCTCCTGCTATAATCCCCTAGACTATCTTTTGAACTCAAGGAGAACTCAAATTTCTCACTAGAAGTTGGATTCTCTGTTTCCTTTTCATCCCTTGCACCGTTTCCACTGTCATTGCTCGAGGAAACATCTTGTTTCATGACGACAGTCACAGATTCAGAGCTTTGACTAACATTACAAGAACCAGAGGAGTTCCCATCCGCTACTTGATGAGCTTCTTTACCAACATTATTTGAAATAGAGCTCAAACTGTCTGAGCAAATCTCAAGATTATGGCTAGTAGTATATGAGGAAGGTTGGTTTTGGATGTTGGTGCTCTTCAACGAACAGTGGCATCTCTGGCAGAGAAGCTGATTTGCACTAGAATCTAAGGAAAGATCATTAGTGTCCTCCTTTTCTGTTGGGTAAGTTACTGAAACCACTCCGATTTTTAACTTCTTCTTAACCAAAATCTTCTTTTTTGGCTGCTGTTTGGGACGTGGAATCATTCTTGTTACTTTGCGTACCGTTTTGATCTTCTCGGTTCCTGAACTAGGTGCGTTATCTAACTTCCCTTTCTGCCCTGATTCCACAGCAGACGAGGGAATTTTCTCATCAAGCTCCGTCCCATTATCTTTCTTGCTAGAATGAGAAGGCAGTGAGGTAACATGTTTGTCTATTTCTATCACATCATCTTCGAAGAACGCATGAGTGGAAGGAGAGGCAACATTATCATCTAACTCTATCTCATAATCTCCACTCCCAGAGCTAAGACAAGACCCACATTTGTTGGATTTATGCAACAGCTTAATCTCCCGCATTTGATTTTCCACTCTTTGTAATCCTAGACTGGTTCCAGCTTGAGATGTCTCAGAAATGGGGCTAGAAGGATCTTCAAATCGCTGAGGCACACTCCTCGAAGAGCTTGGTTTATCGTTTATTGGCATCAAAGATACCTCAACCAAGTTTCCTTTACCCTTGCCAACAGGAAGAAGCGCAGACCTGCTAGCAGATTCATTCGAAACTTGGTTATACAAACTCTTTATTCTATCTCCTTCTGAAACCCTCGGAGACGCAGCTGCGGATTTCGACAACCGTTTCTGAGCAGCCATTTCCGAGGCCTTGGAAATGCAACGATCCCTCAGAGCCTGCTTCAAGGAAACTGAATCAGAGAGACCACCAACTCTAGGCGACTGAGGTGTTCCCGGTTTCTTCATCATGGCGATTCGCTTAGAAGGGCTTGTGGTCCTGCTTGGACCGGCACTCGCGCTCGTCTCAAGATTATGGAAAGAAGAACCCATTAGCCTCGTCGACGGTTTCACAGGTATAGACTGAAAAAGCTTATCAATGTCATACTCAAGAGAACCATGATACTCTCGCTGCTTCTGCTCAAAACCTTTGCTTGATGATCCTAAAACCGATTTACCATATCTCCCTGAATGTTTAGTCAATCTTATTTCATCCTTCTCTTCCACAATTTCGCAGGAACCTGCAAACGATCCCATTGCAACAACTTTTCTTCACAGTTTTTAAATCTCTGAGGAAATCAAAGCCTCGCTGAGTTAACTCATCTTCTATGATCTGTTTCTAAACTTCTGAATACAACATTTTGCAACAATCACAGTTCCCTGTAAAAGAATAATCACAAGAAGAAAAAAAAACTTGTAAAGAACAGAACAGTCTCAATGAAAGAGTAACTTCAAATGAAGAACAATGTCTATGGAGTGAT